CTTTCCCTAAGCGTAAAATGGTTGGGATTTCTGTTTCATCAGGAACTACTACTTTCCCTTTGGAGAAGGAAGGAAAAGGGGAAAAAAAGCAAATCAGAAGCCCAAAGAACTTTTAAAAATTACCCCAAAGTGTGTCTAATGTACATAACACACACCGTAGCAGAATCATCTGTACTTACATACAACACTAAAACACATAAAGGGACTTTCCTGTATTAGTTTTCTGGTGAATCCAATTGGTAAAACTACCCTAAAAGTTTTTAGGAACTGAAGAAAAACTTACTCTTAAGTCAAGGATCTGAACCCACTATTAGACAACTACTCACTCAATGGACATGTTTCCTTAATAGCGAAACTACAACAAAAATGACTAGGACAAGTAAAGGTTTGATAAACACAGTTTTGTTTTGTTTTTTTGCCTTGTACCTGATTTGCTTTGGTGAAACTGGCCTGATGTTTGAGAGTATTAAATAATTTATTATAAAAGAAAATGATAACCCTAATTTTTAGTGTGCTAATAATGTTTTTACAACTCGTAAATTTTGAGTTAGTTGGCAAAATAACTTTTCCCTTAATTAAAAAAAAAAATTCTTAAATTAGCACTTACTAAAAATCCCCTAACATGCCAGGCACTTTACATCTTTATAGTAATCCTGTAAGATAAGTATATTTATCTGCATTTTGTCCTTGAGGAAGTCCGCAGCTTGAGAAACATCCAGACAGTTAAGTAACTGTGCTAGGATCCAAACTAAAATCCTGGCTTATAACTCTAAGTGAATCTCAAAGTAGAGATTCTAAAGGGCAGGCAATCTCCCCAAGACAAAAAAAAAAACTTAAGAGCTGTGTTGCTGAATGGAATGAGTAGCTCTTGTGAATGCTGCTTAAAAAGAAATCAGGGGCTTCCCTGGTGGCACAGTGGTTGAGAGTCCACCTGCCGATGCAGGCGACACGGGTTCATGCCCCGGTCCAGGAAGATCCCACATGCCGCGGAGAGGCTGGGCCCGTGAGCCATGGCCGCTGAGCCTGCGCGTCTGGAGCCTGTGCTCCGCAACGGGAGAGGTCACAGCAGTGAGAGGCCCGCGTACAGCAAAAACAAAAAAAACAAAAAAAAAAAAAAAAGAAAGAAAGGAATCAGGCTCAGACGCCTCTATAGCACCTCACTGTCCACTGTTACAATCTTATCATGTCTTCCTGACATGATAAGTCTCTCTCTCTCTCCCCTGCACACCACCCCACCCTCTACGGTTTCACTGTGACCTTGTAGATGGTATTTTTGTGGTAAAAAAGCTCCAGTGGTATAATGGTTGGGATACGAAGGCTTCTGGTTAATATTCTAGCTGGTTTAATTTCCCCCAAATTAAACAAACTACAGCAAGTGAAGTTCTTCTGTGGCATGTGATAATCTTCAAGACCTTTCCAGCCCTCAGCTTCATCAATACAAACATAAGTTTTCACTGTTGCACTATCCCCCCTCCTCCCTGAATTGTCAGTTGTTGTTTCTGTTTTTACTATTTCAGGAAGAAACATGCTACACAGCAACTCTGTAATTCGATTACAGCTACATAGTCAAAACTCACACCCCTCTCCTGATCTTCAGTAACATTCAGTTTATTTAGACCACTTAGCTATTGTTTTCAATTTCTCCTTCCGGAGTACAGGATTGAAACGAAAACGTAATTATGAGATCTTTTAATGCAAATCCAGCAAAGGAGAAACCAGTTTCTGCTCATTTCCTCTTTACCCAGTCTTGTTGTGTAAAAGTCCCTTAACACAAGGTGAAATCCTGAGGCCCTCTCCCCCATCACCACTTAAAGAACTAAAATGACCAGCTCTGAAAGCTATGGGGACTTTTAGAAGGGCAGTAAAATCCACACAAAGCACAGTAATTTTCAACTTTGTGTCAAAGACCCATTCATCTTACACGTCAATTTAATTTGTATCTTACTTGACAGTTCGGACCATACTGATTAAACTTCATAACGCTACCAAGATGATGGGAAAACAGCCTCTGGCTCATGACTGAGGGTCTTCCTCTGGGCCAAGGCATCTCATGCAACTTCTCTCACACCAAGAACCGGCAGAACTTCGGGTCTGGATTCTTGTCCGGCTCAACTTACGGTAGTTACTAGTACTGTTTAACAAGAGCAGTCCACGTGTTTTCATCAAATTTGACAGAAAGGCTTAAGAAATTAAGGGCAGCTTTTCATGATGGTGGTATTATTCCTGGCATTC